GAGCTAATAACTGATGACCCATTAACAAGGCTAAGGTGCTTAATGTTTGTTTTGCTTCAGTCTTCGCTGAAAACGTTAATGGTGACCAGATATTCAACACAATTAATAATAGCAAAAGTGGAGAAGAAATGCAAGTCAATATAGAGAAATAATAGTATAAATAATATTTAGATAAATTAGATATATTCAAGTCAGCAGGCCCTGAGGAAATTCATCCTAGGGTACTTAAGGAGCTAGCTGAAGCAATCTCAGAACCATTAGCAACTATCTTCAAGAACTTATGGAGGATGGAGGAGGTCCCAGAGGACTGGAGAAGGGCAAACATAGTAACTATCTTTAAAAAGGGGAACAAAAAGGGCTTGGGGAATTATAATCCAGTCAACCTAATTTCGATACCTGGAAAGACACTGGAACAAATTATTAAAAAATCAATTTGCACAAATCTAGAGGATAATAGCATTATAAGGAATAGCCAGCATAGATTTGTCAAGAACAAATCATGCCAAACCAATTTAATTTCCTTCTTTGACAAGAGTAGTGGATAGGAGGAAGCACTAGATCTGATATAGTATTCTCATAATCAAACTAGAGAAATGTGGACTAGATCAAATTAATATAAGATGGGTGCAAAACTGGTTGAATGACCATTATCAATAGTTTGCTGTCAAACTGAGAGGGCGTATCTAGTGGGATCCTGCAGGGGCCAGCCTTGGGTCCAGTACTATTCAATATTTTTATTAATGACTTGGATAATAGAGTGAAGAGTATGTTTATAAAATTTGTGGATGACACCAAGGTGGGAGGTGATGCAAGCACATTGGAGGGTAGGATCAGAATTAAAAATTACCTTGATAAACTGGAGAATTGGTCTGAATTCAACACGATGAAATTCAAAAAAGACAAGTGCAAAGTACTTCACTTAGGAAAGAAAAATGAAATGCCCAATTACAAAATGGGGAATAACTGGCTAGGCAGTAGTTCTGCTGAAGAGGATCTGGGGGGGTTATACTGGATCTCAAATTGAATACGAGTCAACGATGTGATTCAGTTGCAAAAAGGGCTAATATAATTCTGGGGTATATTAACAGGAGTGTTGTAAGTAAGACACGGGAAGTAATTTCTTGCTCTACTCAGCACTGGTGAGGCCTCATCTTGAGTACTGTGTCCAATTCTGTGCACCACACTTTAGGAAAGACAAACTGGAGAGAATCCCAAGGACAGCAACACAAATGATACAAGGTTTAGAAAACCTGACTTATGAGGAAAGGTTAAAAGAACTGGACATATTTAGTCTTGAGAAAAGAAGATTGAGGGGGGACCTGATAACAGTCTTCAAATATGTTAAGGGCTGTTATAAAGAGGACGGTGATCAATTGTTCTCCAAGTCCACTGAAGGGAGAACAAGACGTGATTGGCTTAATCTGCAGCAAGGGAGATTTAGGTTAGGAATTAGAAAAAACTTTATAACAGGCCGGTAGTTAAAATGTAGATTAGGCTTCCAAGGGAGGCTGTGGAATCCCTATTATTGGCAGTTTTTAAGAACAGGCTGGACAAACCCCTGACAGGGATGGTATAGGTATACTTGTTCCTGTTTTAGCACAGGGGTCTGGACTCGATGACTTCCCAAGGTCCTCTCTAGCCCTACATTTCTGTGGTTAATACCTCCAAAAGGCATAATTTATTGCACGTGTTGTTGCTTTCCAGCATCTTCTATACAGGGTTTGTGCCAAAGCCATAAGCTAACCCTAGGTAAGTAAGCACTATTTTTTTTCTTTTATTAAAGCTTGGAGGTATAGTAACATTTATACTGGACAATGACCACTCCTTTTCGGGTTACATAGGCAACTGAGTTTAGATATACTTTCCCGCAATGACCTAGAATTTAATTTTGAGTTTGTCAATACATGTCGTTTACAATGTTCATCTTTAATAGATGACTAAACCTGGTATTCTCCTTTGAACAAGACTTGTGGACCCTGATCCCACAAACACACGCTTAGCTTTGCACCTGTAAGTACTCTCATTGGACTCATGTTCACAAAGTTAAACACATGCATTTATATTTGTAAAATGAAGTATTTAATTCAGATCAGTTACATTGGTTGCTACCACAAGGCAAATAATAATTAAACAAACAAATAAAACAACAATAAGACTAAGCCTCTTTTTTTATGATTCTAGTACAACAGTAATTTATAAACTCCAGTCAAATATGACAAGCTTTTAAAATGAAAGCCAGCTGGCCCTTGCTTCAGCACTAAAGGGTCCTTCAGGGGTTCTCACAACAATTTTTTTGGTGGCCTCAAAGAGTGCGGCCACCAACTCTTGTTAATGGCTGCTCTACAATTTTTTCTAAAATACTCAACTTTAGGAAAAACAAATAAATACACACTTATATACGTCCAAATCATTGTAATTTATTTATGTAAGGGTTTGGGTTTTTTGAAAACTCAATAACACAAATAATGTACAGTTGTCTCTATTCTTTACTGGACCTAAACAGAATAGAAACAAAAATAAGGTGCTTTGCATGTTCTTGTCTTTTGTTGTTGTTGTTTCTTTTGCTTTTTAATTGCTTTTTTAAAGACTTGCTAGCTGGTAAGTCTGCTGCTATGAAAAGTGATATTTGTATGTTTGTTAATATCATTTTTCACAGCATAGACTTGCTAGCTAGCTGGGAGGCAGTGAAAAGTGATATTAATAAACATATAAATATCACTTTTCACAGAAAATTTGCAAAGCCCCGGCAAGCCAGAGGACAAATGAAGCCCTGGATGGGGAGATGGGTAGCGAGGCATTGGGGGCCAAGGAGATGGATATGGGGCCGGAGGAGGCAGTGGGGTTGGGACAATGGGCTGTGGGAGGTAGTGGGGGCCAGTGGGTCCAGGCTTAAGCCCTGCAGCTGGGGACCAGAGCCCACCACCCCATGGCTGGAGCTTGCCATCTGCCACCTGCCACCCCAGGGCTCAAGCCAGAAGCCCAAGTTCCACTGGCCCTAGGAAGGTGGGGAACTCACACCGGCTGCCTGCTCCTCCAGCATTTCTGGCTCCAGAGGGGGCCAGGGCCCAACCCTTGCTGGTGGCCCTGGGGGAGGGGCTGCTGCTTCCCTCCCCACCCCCAAATTACTGCCCAGGAGTCTGTGGCAGCAAGAAAAGCCTCTGGTGGCCACATGCAGCCATGGTGGCCGCATTTGAGAAATGCTGCTCTATGATAACTGGTTTATAATTATAGTGTAGCCAATGATTTTAGTTTATTGTGTGATGTTATGATTAATTAATATCATTGCATGTTAAATAGAGTTAAGTTGTAGGATTATAGAAGTCTAAGATTGATCAATATTTAGAGGGAATCATGTATTAGCTTTCTAAGTAAGGCTGAAATGCAAGACCTGTAGGACGAGGCCTGCAAAATTTTAGCTTAGCTATTTTAGGCCTTGAAGACAAGAAATTCTGTCATAAGTAAGGGACTGAAGAATAACGTGATGTCCTAAGATTATGGGAAAAGAGGTACCAAGTGGTAATACTGTGAAAAATTACCCAGAAGATTAATTTTAATGTTTTAAATAATAAAAATGCTGTAGAGGCACATATGTCTCCAACATGTGTCTTAAGCACAGGATGCAGGTTGTGCGTCAGTGCTGATGAGAATAAAGAGAACCTACACGATCAATAGACATATATGATATATATATATATGTGATATGTGCCATCATGTGCCAGCAATGCCCCTCTGCCATGTACATTGGCCAAACCGGACAGTCTCTATGCAAAAGAATTAATGGACACAAATCTGACATCAGGAATCATAATACTCAAAAACCAGTGGGAGAACACTTTAACCTGTCTGGCCATTCAATGTCAGACCTGCGGGTGGCTATATTACAACAGAAAAACTTCAAAAACAGACTCCAACGAGAGACTGCTGAGCTAGAATTGATATGCAAACTAGACACAATCAACTCCGGTTTGAATAAGGACTGGGAATGTCTGAGCCATTACAAACATTGATTCTATCTCCCCTTGTAAGTATGCTCACACTTCTTATCAAACTGTCTGTACTGGGCTATCTTGATTATCACTTCAAAAGTTTTTTTTCTCTTAATTAATAGGCCTCTCAGAGTTGGTAAGACAACTACCACCTGTTTATGCTCTCTGTATGTATGTATATATATCTCCTCAATATATGTTCCATTCTATATGCATCCGAGGAAGTGGGCTGTAGTCCACGAAAGCTTATGCTCTAATAAATTTGTTAGTCTCTAAGGTGCCACAAGTACTCCTGTTCTTCTTTTTGCGGATACAGATTAACACGGCTGCTACTCTGAAACCTGTCATTATAAAAAGGGATGCCCAGAGCGGGAAAATTGAGCTTCCTATGGGAGAAATCCAGCAGGAACCATCCCTTTACTGATGATCAAACTATGAGAAAGCCATCAGACTCTAACGCTATCTAGGAGGATCTGAGTACGTCTGTAGTTATAACTGGTGCATGGATATATTTAGGAGGTGTATATGCTGTGACATTCATAACTTTGTTGGTAACTTTAATAAAACTGATAAAAGATAGTGGATCTTGTTCTTATGGTTCTGTTACTTGCCTATGGTTTCATGTGTTCCTATGACGCTAAATCTAAAACAAGCAGAGATAACTCTGTTGAACTTGAGACTGTAGGCGCCAGAGCCGAACCCTCAATGGTGTAGTATAACATCACTAAAATTAACTTCAAATAAAAATAAAGGTTGCAATAGCCTACTTTTCCTACAGCAGAAGTACCACCGGAAGATGAGTTACATGACACAGTGCTGTTTGCACTGCAATGTCTGATGGTGGGTTGTTTGTACAGATCTGTACTAAGATAAGCACACATCTCTATTGTAAACTCAGTGGCTATTCAGAGAGAGAGAGAGAGAGTGCGCATGCCTCTGTAACTGGAATGCTTGCTTTACAAAATGTGCTTGGCTAGCAACTAAAGGGGTCACTTAGTTGCTGTCTTTTTTGTTTAAATCTCTGGGTCTATTAGGAATTCACAAAGAACAAATGACCATCTCTTGTTAGGAAATTACTTGTCTGAAGCACAAGGGCATATCGAGAGGACAGCAGAGCAGGAAATGTTTTGTCTGGTCTCTGATATTTGTTTAAATGGTGTTTTCTAGCTTTGAGAAGACCTGATATCTGGATTATTTGTAATTGTTTTATTGGACCACGTGAGCTGAGCTGGCATTTTCACTGATGTGCTGTTTTATCTTTCCTCCAGTTTGTTTGGAGTGTTGGTGGATCCCTGCTGCGTTGTGCCAGGGTGTGTGTCTGTGTGCTCTCTCATCCAGGTAGGTTTGTGTTTTCTTCTTTTTGGATGGTCTGGTTATTACTGGCTCGGAGCTGCAGGAGAGACAAGGTGGAGGAACACATGAAGTTGTTGATGGTGACTGAGAACCTGGGAAGCAGCAGGACAGCAGAGAGACAGCTAAGAATAAGACTTTAGTGGACACTGTGTTGAAGAGTTTGTTTGTTCCCTCACTACTAGTTGCATATAATGTCACATCCAGGTGTAACACATCACATTGGACTTGGATTACAGTAGAACATGTCTTCATGCTACCAGTGAAGATTAAAGCAAAGTACAGTTTTCTAACAGATATTTTTCATTAGACAATACTGGATCCATGAAATTGAAATGTTAATAGAAACATGGCTCCCTGGCAGCGTGTCTGATGAGTTGCAAGTCTCCTGGGACCTGCAGCTCTCTGGAAGTTGGCCTGATGGGCTGCCCAGGTCCCCTGGCTCCCTCCCTCCCTACCTTGTCAGCCCGATTCCCTGGGAAGCTAGGAAGTAAACTGCAAATTCTGTTTTGGTTCCCCCAAAACTAATTATTTTGAGAATTTTCCTCTTGTGAAAAATTTCAAATTTTGTCCTTTTTGTCCCATTTCAGGACAATTATTTTTTAAAAATTCAACAATTTCCACAGGAGGGGTAGCTCTAAGGCACAATCAGAAAACCAAGAGACCACAAGACCCAGGGTGGGTCTCAAAAAGCAAACCCCACTAAGGAGCCAAAAGAAGCGTGCTTGCTGTCCCAATTGCAGAGGTAGCAGGAATGTTAATAACTTTTTTAAAGGAGTGGATTAAATGCTCATGAAAAGTGTCAGACCTGCAGCTGTAGAGACAGCCTTTATTTGAGCACAGAATAGATAAACTCTCCCTCAATTGCATGGTGACAGGTTTCAGAGTGGTAGCCGTGAAACTGAAAGCTTATGCACAAATAAATTTGTTAGTCTCTAAGGTGCCACAAGTACTCCTCATTCTCCCCCAATAGTTCCACCAATATTTCTAACCTTGAACAGCCACTTCTAGGGATGAATCTCTATGCCCAGTCAGTTGCTGACAGTCTCTGCTGATACTGCTAACAGGAGTGCAAATTAATTTTTGATACTTGTAGTCTGTGTGGGTGATGGGGAGAGGGATGGTTATGATATGGAAATGAAAGAGAGGTTTCTAAAAAAAAAAGTGGCAGTGGGCAAATGGTGATCAGACATGGGCATTCCAAAATATTTAAACCTGTATTCTCTTTACCAAACCACTAACTGGAATTATGTCTGTTTAAATCTTAGAATGCAGTACAAGAGTTTTCAATCTGCAAGCCCACTGATGTCCTTTTCATTAAGATGATGGTTATAGATGTTGATCAGGACAGGAATGAGAATAGTCATGCAGCAGGCATCAGAATGAAACCACATCCTCTTCTTCAACAGAAAACTCTAGCTCTGTAACAGAGGCAGGCAACAGGGTGAGTTGGTGGGTGATTTATATTTTGTACTGTGTTCTTTTTACATATTTTAAGCGGGAAAAACTTTTTAAAAACCACAATGAACTCAAGGATGTTTTGCTTTTTTGCTGTGCTTGTTCTTAGTGTTTCAATTTCATTAGTTCTTTATACTGTTAATTCACCTGAGCAAAAACACCTTCGGAAGTTGAACCTCTCAGTGACTTCTATCTTAGCAGAAGCCTGTGATGCACTTATTGAAGAGAAGGCATTTTTTGTACAAGAAAACGCATTAAAAACATCATTTGGGAGAACCTGTTGCACCAAATACTTAATTCAAAATCACTATATAACCAGCCCTCTCTCAGCAGAAGAAGCTGCCTTTCCTTTGGCTTATATCATAACCCTTCATAAGGAATTTGATACTTTTGAAAGACTTTTCAGGGCTATTTATATGCCCCAAAATGTTTACTGTATCCATGTGGATCGGAAAGCAACTGCTAAGTTTAAGCAAGATGTGGAGAAATTATTGAACTGTTTCCCCAATGCTTTTCTTGCCTCTAAAATGGAGCTAGTGGTATATGCTGGAATATCCAGACTTCAGGCGGATTTGAACTGCATGAAAGACCTGCTGGAATCAGGAGTTCGGTGGAAGTACCTTCTCAACGTATGTGGACAAGATTTTCCCTTGAAAACCAACAAGGAAATAGTTCAGTATCTGAAAATATTTAAAGGGAAAAACATCACTCCTGGAGGTCTGCCTCCTGCCCATATTATCCGAAGGACCAAATATGTCCACAGGGAACAAATATACAGTTTCGCTTCTTTCATGCTGTGGACCTTTGTACGAAAAGCACCACCTCCACACAATCTGATCATCTACTTTGGCTCTGCTTATATTGCTGTCACAAGGGAATTTACCGAGTTAGTTCTCAGAGACCAGCGTGCCATTGATTTACTTGAATGGTCCAAGGACACCTATAGTCCAGATGAACATTTCTGGGTGACACTCAATTCGATACCAGGTATGTCTGACTTTCCTCCCACTATGTCTTCGCTATTAATCTATGTAATCCTTTTGCCTAACAGGTCTACTATACTTCAAACAAAGTGGATCATTTTATTTTCTATTATTTAATTATAAATGGGGGGCAAGAACTTTACTTCTAGGCAGTCGTAAATAGAGGATTTATATAAAGGTGTGTATTATGTATAAAACGAAGGAAGTAGTATTAATTGGGATGGTTCACATGTTAGAGATAAAGCCAATATAACACATATTTCATAAAGTACATATCCTAGTCACTTATTAATCATAACCATTGCCCCCATCCTGCAATTGGATCAGTGTAGACAGACCTCATTGGCTTCAATAGGGCCTCTATGCAGGCATTAAGTTTCCTTCTTTGCGTATAGCAAATTAGGGGCCTAAGTTTGATTCCAACATCAGATTACAAACACAACTTTGCAAAATGCTGCTCACTCTTTTGGGGGGCAAGTAAGCTTTTTGGCAATAAGCAAATTAAATAATGTTTCTTTTTTTGATGGTTTTTTTCATTCTTGTCAATCACTGATGCCTGTTACTGTCAGGGGAAACTGTTTTCTATCACTCTTTTTGTTTGTAGTGTAGATGGGACAACATGGTTACAGAACTGTATTAAAGGAATCATGTTACAGTCTAGGTAATGATCTTACATGATTCTCTAACAAGGTTTCGTGATAATGTCCTGTCCACACTACAAATCCAAAACCATAGTAGAACACGGAAGGGCAGGGACTCTCCGTTACTGTGTGTTTGGAAAGAGCCTAGCACAATGGGCACCCGTTCTTGGTTTGTCCCTAGCCAACTACCGTAATAAACATAATATATACTAAAAATAATGCCTCTGATCAAGCCAGAGAACAGTGTACTGTCATGGTTAGGCTTGTAATGTAGATGGGCCTTATTGCTTTTGTTTATTCCTCCTTCCACCCATCAGGGCCTGGTATTTGGAAAACTCTTATCTCATCCTCTAAATCTTTTCTCTTTATCTGGATGTCTGCTCTGCTGTTAATCAGAATGATGTGACACAAATACCTGCAATGTAAAGTCATCATGGGGTGGGGGGGGGGGGAGGAGGAATATAAGCGTGTCATTGGCTAATATTTATTTTGACTTACAAATGTGCCAAAGTTACCACAGGCAAAAGCTTTACTTGCAGCAACAGCCCCCTACTTGTAACCCCAGCACTCTTTCTCAAGCTGTCTTTTCCACTTTCCTGAGCCAGGATCTTGTGTGATGAGTGTGGCTGTCTCCACTCTGCTTCAGGTACTATCTCCCCCAGTAATGGCATAAATGCTATATCAGTTTCTGCGGCGCTAGTAAAATGAATAGTAGATGTCCATCCATCAGCTTGTTGGCGATTCCTTACTACCTCTATCTGGTACCTTACTCTTTCTCCCTTTCCCCACCCTTCACCTCTATGATTTTGACCCCTGTTGCTCACGAGGGTCAGATTCAGCTAACTAAGCCTGTGGCGGTAGGCGGGGTTTCTCTTTTGACTTCCACTCTCCTCCCCCACCTCACTCTGATGCACAAGTTTGATTTTCAACAAGCATAAAGTAGTTTGCCCAGTGAAACCACTTTTTGTCTCTGACTTACACTATACAAAAATTCAACCACACTCAGGGCAAGGATAACTGTGGGTGATATTGCTTCTGTGCAGAGAGCCAGTACAAGACCTATGTACCCCTTCAGCCTCTCTTTAAGCCCTGTTTTGAAGCTTAGGTGGGACTGCAATGGTACACAAATCTTGTGCTGGGCCTCTGCAGAAGAATGAATTTGGCACTGTATGAGTTGCTCCAGGATATTTTTGATTACGAACACACAAAACTATATGAAGATAACATTATTAAGTTGAGTTAAGGCGCTCAAAAGTTGTCTACTTGGTCATCGAACCAGGATCAGGCTTAACAGGATACTTCCTGGCTCATCCAGAGTGGCTGCAACTATGCATTGGCTTGGCCTGGTTTCCTCCCCATGCTGTGACTCTGGGGCAGCATCACAAATAGTAACTTGTGGTGGAAGTGTGCCCAACCCGACATCCGGAGGGTGGTTTACAACACCTCCCTTCCTTTGATAGCGAGGCCATCCTCTGGTTACAGAACCCAGACATCGAGCTCTGATGTCTATATATGAGAGGAGGAGGACCCCAAGTGCCTGCACAAATGCTGATCTCAATGCACCCCTGCACAGTGAAGCTGACTATTGACTGTACACAAAGCACTGCCAAGTGCACACAAAGGAAGCTACATGAGAAAAAAGAGTAAAATATTTGTTCCTGCTATCTTAGGTGTCACTTTTTGCATATAGTTACAAGTAACCCCTCCTCCCAATGCACCAGTTGTGTAATGCTGTGCATAGGGGAAGACATTATTTCCTGAATACCCTGTTGTTCAGCTGATACTAAAATACAAAAGATTCCCTCTTAACAAGAGAAAACAAATCAAACAGATTTTTTGATGTTGTAGTCAATGGCACTAGGTTCACCTTGAGTAGTCATTACAGTTGTGAAAAGTGAATTCAAAATGTGTTGCTATCTAATCAGAATTGCAGTTTAACTCTCACTTTGCACAGGTGGAAGTGACTACACAAAATGCACGGCAGTGGAGAAACAGGTCTTAAAAGTATCCATTGGACTTACGTTTTTTAAAGGCTAAAACAATTCAGTACAAAGACACCATTATATTTTAATGTGAGTGATCTGTAACAAAAGAATTTTGTGTGTAAGTACTGAAGAATGGGAGATAAGGCCCTCTTGTAGTGAAATGTGTTACTACATGAAGGAAACAGCTTGGCCCAGATCTGGCCATGAACTCTAGTCAGCCTTTTTAGCTGCCCAATCCTGCCCAATCCAAGGAGCAACAATTCCTCTTTGCCCAACTGCTCACATTGCAGTTGGACTCTTGGGAATGAGACCAGGGGAATTTCTTTTACCTGCTCTGGCCTAGTGGGATGACTTTCCTCAGCTATATCAGTCAGCATATGCAGCTGTACTGTATGGGTAATCTTGTGTGCCTCAGAAGAACATGTATATTATGTCAACTGGATAGAACCCATGATGGTCACCCACGCATGTTCCCAACTGGTAATGCGTGGGGAGAGAGGAAAGCTGCGCAA